GGTGTAAATATTATAGCAGTTTAATACAGTTTATAGGGATACATGGTGTAATTGATGCACATACGAAAAAATATTTCCCATCAAGTTCAGTGGAAGTGCTGCACGTAGAATGATGGTAAGATTATGCCCATAGCCTATAGGGCCTGACTAGTCTGTACATCACACAAATGGGAATTAAAAATAATTCAGCTGAAATCAGTGTAAGTGATAACAAGATGAGGACCTGAGATGAGTAGTGTGCCACCTGGATCTTTCCAGCAGCACACTAAGTATTAATAACATATGATGGGACAGGGCAACTTACCAAGAAGAAAGATACAATGCAGTTAAAGTGAGACAATCTCTCCCTAAGTAGAAAAAACACTCACAAATATGAACTTTAGAAAAGTTTTCAATAAAGGGGCCAGTATTTCAGCTAAGTATGAAGCAATCAATGTATGTTGACTTTCACAGAACTACACTGATTTATAGCAGCAGAGAATCTGACTCTGAGTGTACAAGATAAGACAACCAGTAAATAAACTTTGTATGTCTAATGGACAGAAACATTATGAAAAATAATTCTCTAGGTCTGTTTAAACTGATGCCTTTATAGCTAGCCTTTACATAACACTAAGCAGTCCTAGAAAATGGTCATTGTTCAGTTAAATAAAAAATACTCTACTTAGCATCAGAGATAAAACATTTTCATGTTTCATGTGTTTTGCTCCTCCACTGTAAACAAAGTAAAACCTTGCTATTCACTAGCTTTGAGTTTCCAGGGCTCCCTGAAAATATAGTTAAAGGAAGTAAAGCACTGAAGATAAAATTGCAAAATGTGACTATATATAATAATATAAAAGCTTGTAATCTCCCTTACCAAATAATCCATCCCTTAGCCAAGACTCCAAGTACATCCCTTGTCCCATTTCTTGAGCGCATGCAACAGTGGAAGATATAAAATCAGACAACTGGAGGTGATAAGTTTGGGAGTCTCAGAGGGTAGCTATGTTAGTCTCTAACTTTAAAAACAACAAATAGTCCTAAGGCACCTTAAAGACTAATACACTTATTAGGTCACGAGCTAAAACCCACTTCATCAGATGAGTTGGAATGGAAATCACAATTTTTCTGCCTTTGAGATTTGCATTTCCAGATCAAATACTATGAATGAGACACATCCAGCATGACTTAATTAGCTTCATTGGCACTGGTCCTACAATTGACAGGTAACTTCTTTTGCTGTTATATATACTCTGGACTCTATAATTTCCACTCCAATTCATCTGATGAAGTGTGTTTTACTCACTGAGAAAGCTCGTGACCTAATAAATTTGTTAGTCTCTAACACTACATCTAGACTGTATCACTCTGCCAACAGAGAGATGTAGATTAGGCACATTGAAATTGCTAATGAAGTAGGGATTTAAATATCCTGTGCTTCATTAGCATAAGCATGGTCGCCAGAAAAAAATGGCAGTCTAGACGCAGATCTGTCGAAAATAAACCTTTATTCGACAGATCCTGTAAACCTCATTTTTTGAGGTTTCGAAAAAAAGCGGCACCCATGTTTATGCTATGAAGCACGGGATATTTAAATCTCTGCTTCATTAGCAATTTTGATGTGCCTAATCTACATCTCTCTGTCGACAGAGGGATGCAGTCTACACGTAGCCTAAGGTGCCACAGGACTGCTCCTTTTTTATATTAGGAGTATTAGCTTCTAATGTGCCATAAACTAATAAAGGTTTTGCCATTTACAGGCAATTCCTGTCTACAGTACCCAAACCAATTGCTAGTGGGTGGCAAGGAAACTAGAGTTGTTGTAATCTGGACAGGTTTGGGGTTGGTGGTCAAGATCAGGGAATGGAATGCCCAATAAAGGCAGTTAAAACTTAAAGGGGATACAAAACTCTCAAATAGGGAACACACAAAAGCTGACTTTGGGTTACATGTGGAAGTATTACATCCTCCGCTGCCCTGGATAGTTCCTCTGCAATGAACCTGGTTGACATGGGGAATCAGAATTGCCCCTTAATGCTATGCACTTTATACAAAAAGAAAGCATACACAAAACTAGGCTGCCAGTGTACCTCTGTATACTACTGATATTCTGAAAGATTGGAAAAAAACACAAGAAAGATGAGAAGTTAGTGTGAATCCCTCGTTTTAAGCTACTTATTATTTTTAAGGTTGCATCTACACAGCACGCTAAACTCAAAATAAGATACACAATTTGCACTACGCAAATTGCATATCTTATTTTGATTGAATTTCAAAATAATGCTCTATTTCAAAACATCCCTTAACCCTCCTGGAACAAGGGTTACCGGGATGGAAGAACGGCACACCCATTATTTCAAAAAATATTTTGAAATAATGGGCAGCTTGTGAAGATGTGGGGTAGCTATTACGGGATACCAGAGGTATCCTGAAATAGCCATGCAGTGTAGAAGTACCGTAAGTGCCCTTTAAATGTCAGAAGGAATGTAAAATTTGAGCAAGCACTACAAAAACCTATTTGCATCAATTTCTCAAGGTATAACATGATATTTTAAATTAAATTTGAATTTTCCAGATCCTGAAACTGGCTCTTAGTGGTCCATCCAGGAACACTACACATGTGGTAGGTCTGCCAATGTGCTGTGAATTCCAGATTTGGGCAGTCATGCTACACGTTTGATTTGTAAACGTGAAAGCATTCTTTTAAATACAGTTTACTTTTCCCCAATTGCACTCTGTTAGTTTTTAACTTCACTCAGTTTGGACAATAGGAAGCAGTCTGTTTCACTTCCCAGGTTCCATGCTGAAACCAGGGATATAAAAAACCAACTACAGCAGTTAACCAGTTTAAGCTATTTGTTTAACTAGTTAACCACCGGCCCATAGCTGACAAGAGCTGTTCTAGCCCTGACCCCACACTACACCGCAGCCATGAAGGCTGCTCCAGTCCCAGCCTACTCTGCCGCAGCCTTGGGCAGTGGGGGATACCCCTGCTCTGGCCCCGCTACGGATCTGGGGCACACTCCAGTACCAATCCCACCATGGGGCTCCTCCAGCCTGCTATGCCACAGGCATCCAGGCCCTCCACAGGTATGTGGCTGCTCCAGCGGGATCCACTGCATCCAGGGGCAGGATCCAGCCAGCAGGACCAGTTAACCAGTTACCTTGAAAGCAGGCCGATAGGGATATAAGAAGATAACAGGTTAACTAGTAAGCAGGTGGCCTATCTGAAACATTTGGATTGCAAACAGTGCATGGCAATGTTTAAATCCAAACGACTGTATCCTTTTATTAAATAATAACAATGATAATTTCATGCTCATATTACATCTTATAAAAACTCAGTTTAACACATAACAAAATTTTAAAACCCTTTTATCTGGGGCTTAAGCAACCTGACACTATCTCTTTTTCTAAACCTTTAAGCATAGGAGAACATTTTTCTTACTGACAATAACAGTTTTGCCACACCTTCTGTAGGAGCACGAACAGGCCATTAATGTGGCAAAAATAATTTTTGAACTACAAATATGTGTACCAGTTATGGTCCTAATCCTACAAGCTGACCTATGCAGATGGTTCCATGAAACTGTTGTTAACCTCACTAGTGTTGACAGCACTCTGTTCAGATGTAGGTATTCACCTACAAAAATCATCTTGCAGGATAGGGGCCTGTAACTCCTCTAATGATCTATTCCCTTTTAAACTGAGGTGACCTAAAAAAAAGTAAGCACCAAAAATAATCAAATACTGAACTATTGAAGCTACCTAAATCAAGAGACCTCTTTTTAAAAACCCTGATAGGCTATATTTGGATTAAGATAGATAAGGATTAGTATTACATCAGTAAATGTCAGTATATGTCAATTTCACCATAAAAACACAAATTCATGAAAAATATGTACATAGTTAATAACTGAAATGTATATATAGGCAAAGTAAGGAAAATTCTAAGAATTGAGAATTTATTAGCGTTTGATTTAAGAATACTTTATATATTTTTTCATGTGATCTTGACAGTTTTTAAGGGTTACAAAGGCCTTACTTTTTGAATCTCAATATTTATTGTAATTAAGCAATTACTGTTTGACACTCCCCTATAATTTCCTACAATAGTGAGTTTTTAAAATCAATAAAAATGGGGGGGAAATGCTTAAAAATAAATATTGATTATATAAAATTATTTTTAAAAATTGAATTCTGATAAGCCTAGCTATACTTTACTATTTGTTTTATGTTAAATGAACACAAACACAATATCAATTAATAAACTAAACAAATAGCTGGAAAAAAGCCATTCACAACAGGAAATTTAAAAATATCTCAATTCCTTTGAAAACAAACAGGTATGCAGAATCCAGGCTAAAGATATAACAAAGTAATGAAATGCAACTGAAAACAAATTGCAATCCCCATGCAAATAACAAAAATTAGTATCCATTAACATATACATCATAATTTGTGAATACACTAAAATATGCATACAAGCAATATTTAGATTCATATTTGGTTGTTTAAATGATTGTTATCTGTCATAAATTGTACTGACATTTTTATTTACTTAATCTATACTGTTAATTTGGTTTATTGAAAAATATTTTGTATCTCTTAGGAGGAAGTGTTGCTCTCTCTGTTACATTGGTGTAACAGAATAAAATTTCTGTTAGGCAGCTTATGGTCATTTTTAAAACATACTAACATTTTGCATTCAATGATTTTTGGTTTTGTTTTTCTATACCATTTGCACAAGGTCATAATTTTACATATATTTTGTAAACTGAGTATCAAGACCGGTAAGTTACACTGAGCAAAACTCTGATGAATGAATCTCTGATGAATGGGATCACCTCATAGATCACCTGCTCAGACCCAACACTCTCTCTGTTATTTATGTCCCATTGGATTAATCATTTGCTTTTATTGAAAAAGAAAAGGTAATTATTGTCCTATAATAAAGAATAAAGGAAACACTAGCCAGTGAATGAGAAATGAAGTTACTCATTATTACAGATAAGTACCTTTTGGAGCCTCCAATATAGGTGAAGGTAAAGGTGGAGTCTGAGTACCTGAAATCTAAAATATAAAGACTTGCATTATTATAAATGATCATTTCTAGTTCTTTGGGTTTGTCTAAAATATCTGAGGTTCCACTCGCCCTCATTCTAGTGGTAAGGGGGGTTAAGATGCATTAGAGAAGCCTGCAGGAGGAACTCCCCCCCCCCCCCAACTTGCAAACAGTGCCCCGGGTG